CAGTATAAAGATGAATTAGATACAACTCTGCACGACTTGGGTTGCTCAAAACGTTGGTTAAAAATAACAAGTGGACAACTAATTTCAGCCTTTGGTTAAATCAATTTTAAGTCAGGCCAGTTACCAAATAATACACGATTGTACATTGTATGTGGAGTTCAAGACTTTAAATGACTCCCACTGATGTAAACAAGCACTGCCATCAGAACTTGCAGACTTGTGCAACAAAAAAAGTACATTCATTTTATTTTATCCCATTCTCATTATACAATGAATCAAAGTCAGTCCAAAGTGGACAAAGTTAGCCTGTGGATAATGCACTATGTTTTGACTTTTTAAGGAAACATATTTATCAAGTGGAGGTAAGTTAAAAATTGGATAAAGGTAACCTGTGGATAATGCACTTTATACATTATATCTTTTAAAGCAACACTATCAAGAGGAGGGATGTTTAGCAATGGAAAATGACTTATTAATTCACTGGTTACTTGTAACTCTATCCAATATTTTGAGCAACACCATCTTGGAGGGCTAAGATTACATTAGGACAAAAGCTAAATTTATATCTGTCTGAAATAAAGGAGCATTGGTGTTCTAGTGGTAGAGCATTCCTAGCATCACTAGTATCAAGTTTCATCAAAATCAGCCCAAATTTTCAGGTCAACAATTCATGGAAAAGTAGAGCTATGCTACCCATCCTGGTGTGGCGTCAATGGCAATCCTTTGGTAAAAATTTTACTTACAATTTCTTGTAGAACATCATATCTTATCAACCACTAAAGATATTTGCATTTTTCTTCATAGTTTTACCAGCCTTTCATATCTTAATAGATCATTGTCCAAGGTCCATAACTCTATCACACAACTTGCCTGATTTATGGCCCTTTTGGCATTTGAATTTTGTGTGCAATGTTAATCTTTGAAACTACTGATTATAATCACTTGAAACTTAATTCATGTCTTTGAATTTATAACAGATAAGTTTCCATGACCTATAACTGTGGTATTGATATTTAATGAAATACAACCCTTTGTGAGTTAAGAAAATTCAATGGTCAATATCCATTACACTCATAACTATTGTATGTCATGCAATTCAAATGACATCTTTCTCTTTGTTAATTCCTACAGTATTCAGGCTCTTGTTTTACTATCAATCTCTAAGAGTAGTCTAAAGCATTGTCCTTATGACAGCTCTACGTTGGTGTTTATGTTCAACAAGCTAAAATGATGTCTCGAATTTAAGTTAAGAACCAACAACGCATTACCTCTGCTGAAATTCATCAAAATCTGCCAATTAAATGGGTGTCATTTCAAGGTTTACCTGGTTTGCTGTGGGCTGGAACAATGTCAAGCATATTTTGTAATGGACCATCAAAGCTCATGTTGGCTGCTTAAATTACATTTTGTATCTTTTATCCCTTAAATTAACAACAGACAGTTTTAAAATTAAAGAAGGTTAAAACTTTCTTTGAAATTTGGCCTCTTACAAGATAAAGTTTGTATTAAATGTAAGTGTACAGTCAATTTCACAATTTCCTTCATTTATCACACTACACAACTGCGTCATATACTATTGTTCAAGAGGTAAAAGTAAAAAATGTACTCCAGGTACACAATCACAATTTCTCTATATGTGGATTAATAATTCAAATCACATTAATTTTGATGTTTATCCAAGCTGAATGTTTTCAGATGTACTGAAATATAATCACAAAGGTCATAAATCAAACTGTGCCATATCATACAAAAATGTACCCAAATTTAAATTTCGAAACATTTTCCCTTTTAAAACACACACACACACACACACACACAAACTAGAAATGTGTCTGTAGGACACAGACGCCCCAGCCATATGACATTTTTACCTCCAAGGACAACCTTGACCTTGGTGTTGCCCTGATACAAGGTCACCCTCTCAACCTGATGTAGACATTCTGCCTAATGTATTGACAATACATCAAGGAACAAATTACAAGCCAAGAAAAGTGGGCAAACACAATTTTGTCCTTTTGCTGGTGATATGATTGTGTGCTTTATGCAAATCATCATCTCAAGTAATGCTAGACAGGATTTGACTATGACCTACTACCTTAACTTGACCTCATGTACATCTTGCACACAATACATTGTCAACTTATCTTGCGAACAGTTTTGTTTTTAAAATCACATAATGCATGGGTTTTGAATCAGACATAAACTCAAGCTGCACTTAAGTACATGTTGTTTATTTATTTATGACTACATGCTAAGTGCAGTCCCTTGCTGTGACTTTGACCACCTGGATCCTACGCTTAACCCATTGTCTTCTTATGGTGATTAGGGTGTACCAGTTTATTTTGAGATCCCATCATGCATGCTGAACTTATGACATGATTTCTAACAATGCTTCAGACAACATGTATACATATACAAATACATCAAGTTCAATTCCTGACCTTCACCTTTGAGCTAGGGACACTTGTTTTGAACAGGACACAGTGTCTTCTTATGGAGATCAAGTGGACAAGTTTATTTAGAAATCCAAATATGCATCTAACGATTTCTCAGGCTATGACAAACACACTAAGTTCAATCCCTTGCTGTGACCTTTATCTTTGACCTAGGGAGTGCATTGACTATTTATGCTGCACATTTTTACCGATTGATTTTGAAATCCCATCATGCATGCAGAAGTTATGGACCAGTCACAAAGTCATATGATGACATTCCTGGCTTTTGATGAGGAAGACATTGGGTGCCCTCCGTCCTTTAATTCAGTCAAACCATGGATGTTCTGTACTCTAGCTGGATAGCTTCCTCACATGAAAGAATCCAAAGTCCCTGCCATGATTAAAAGCTGTGAGGTAGAAGTAGTTAACAGTAAACGACTTAAATGACTCGGTTACAGATGCCCCCTAGTCTGTTTTATAAGGAAGTACTGTAAAACATGTAAGAGTAAATTAAAAGGAACAACATATTGAATAATAATTTTATTATACATTAGGTACATATTAATAAAAGTCTGTATACAAACATTCAATGTTTCCAAGTAAAAAAAAGAATCACAGAGACAAATGACCTTTTCAAGGTTATAAAACTAAGATTACACAATTATGCTTTACAACAATTTTTTCACTTTTGCTTTCCTGATTAACTAACATATAATGTAACATTAAGTTAATGTGACAAACAGTTAATGCATGTATTTCTGAAGTTTCTTAATTCACAATTTATCTTTGGTTTCCATATACAAAAAGGTGTATAACTTAAGTTTCCTTATAAACAAATTGAAATTCTGTAGTTTTTATTCACAGGAAGTGTTGATTTAAATTGCTAATAAACAAGACCAATTAGTCGTCATATGTGTTGCTTGATGATAACCAATTTTTTTAACCCTCATCCCCAACACCAGCCAATTAGTCAAGTGGCCAGTTGATTGTGACTTTGACTATTGTCTCCCTATCAAATGCACCAAGTTTGAATTTCCTAGGTACAGGCATTCGTAAGTTATTGATCAAAAAGGGTTTGGTCTACAGACCTATTGATAGAATTATGAACAACTGACATTGGCCAAAGCAATATACCCCCACTTTCTAGAAAGGGGGGCATAAATATTGTGTTTATATTTAGAAATAAGCTGCAATTGACAACATAATCTGACAGATTCCCTGAGGTCAATCTAAGTCACATATGGTCAATCAAAGAAAAATACCAATAACATAGAAACTAAGAACTGTCAGATGCCAAAATGACCTATACTTTGTCATTAAATAAATGACCAGTCTTTAGTATAATTAGCCAACTAAGTATCTGTACTTAAACAGGGTTCGTACAGACATCCAATGCCAAAATTCAAGGACTTTTTAAGCACTATTTAAGCACGTTTTCCCATTTTTCAAGCACATTTGTTGCACATATACCGACACAATCTTCAACCTATGATGGATAGTTTGTTCACCATTTTTTGTTAAATAAGCATTTTCTGACATTATAGAAGAACAACTAAGGGTGCATCAAGTACAGATTAGTTCAAAACATCTGCAATTTGTCCACTTACTGTTACATTGAGTAAACATTTCATTGATTTTGATACTAAATTTGATCTTTTTTTTTATTTTGTTAACTGTTGATTTTTATCATAACTATGTCATTCTGTGATTCAAACATTTTCAAGCACATTTTTAGCAAATTTAAGCACTTTTTAAGCACTTTTCAAGAGAGTAATCAAATTCAAGGACTTTTAAGCACTTTTTTACATTTTTAAGCACTTTTTAAGAAAGAAACTCAAATTTAAGCACTTTTTAAGACTGTACGAACCCTGTTAAAATTGAACCAGTGAATACAACAAATTTTCAACATTGCACATTATGTCACAGACTCTAAGCCAATTAACAGACAACATGCAAACATGTTTATTTTAAAAACAATTTAACTCTAATGGGATACATTTTGTACAGAGAAATTATCTTATATCTCTTAAAAAAAATTTAACACAAAAAGAAAATCTAATAAAATATAATTATGTATATATAGCAATATGAAACATGAGCATATGAATAACTTTCATATGTTAGTTTTATAGGATGGTCCCATAGAAAGTCACATAAGAAAAGTTTGACTGTATTTGTTCATAGTTTTCTTTCTTTCAACAGTGATTAACCATCATTATTCTAACAAAATACAAAAGAACAAAACAAGAACAAGAGCTCTGCCAAGGCCACATATTCTAAATGAAAAACTTAAAAGAAGGCATCACCTTCAAGATCATAGCAAATTTATTCTTGTAAATAGCACAAATGAGCCGCGTCATGACAAAACCAACATAATGGGTTTGCGACCAGCATGGATCCAGACCAGCCTGCGCCTCCGCTCAGTCTGATCAGGATCCATGCTGTTCCCTATCAGTTTCTCTACTTGTAATAGATTTGTAAGCGAACAGCATGGATCCTGATCAGGCTGCGCGGAGGCACAGGCTGGTCTGGATCCATGCTATTCGCAAACGCATTACGTTGATTTTGTCATGACGCGGCTCAAATGAGGATTTTTTCCAACCAATGGAGAAAAAGAATATAAAGCCTAATTATTTTTGGCGTAATGCTAAAAGTAGATAAGCAGAAAACTGTTTGCAAATAAAGGGGCATAACTATGTCAATAATAAATTGATTGCCGAGAAAAAACAAACATGACCCAAATTTAGACATAACATGGAACTGTGCCAAACATAAACACATTTATTGATATCCTTCTAAAGTTATCCTGAGGTACCCATCACTTCGCAGAAAATTTGCGTTAAGAGGCATAATTCTTTCTATATATTGATAACAAGAATCTAACTTAACTGTGTTTTGATATAACATACTTACATGCTAAGTATAAACACAATCATCAAAATCCTTCAAAAAATTTCCAATGGAGAACAATAACTTTTTTGGTTAAAAATGGGCATAATTCTAAAATTAATTGCAGCATAAATCAAACTTGACCTTTGTTTTGACATATCATAACTACAATCATGCAAAATATAAACATAATCATTGAAGTCCTTCAGAAGTTATCCTGCAGAAACCATTAGTCTATCTGACAGACGGACAATGTCATACCATAATACGTCCTAAAGTTTTTTTGGGCTTACAAAAAATTATAATCATATAATTGATCACCTGAGTATACATGGTATAACATACAATATCTTGCAAAAGTTACCCATAAATAGGCTTAGCCTTAGGTTATGTAAGACAGTTCACATTTTTGAAAAATAAATACATTCAAAATTCAATTCTATACAATCATAGTTTTTTTAATATAAACAAGAAAATCCATACTGATAACTACAATGAGCAGTAAAAAATTACCTGATTTATTTAAGTTCTGATTTCTGGCTTTAGAAGTCAAAAAACACTTGGTACTTCAATGAACTTAGCTTTGCTTAAATAAATATACTTAAATCTCTTATATAATCATGCGACCTTGCCAACCACACATGAGCTATTCTCTTCATGGTTATTTGCCTTCCCTGAATTTCATAATATACTTCACACCAACTTGTTTAGTGACCCTGAAAAAGAAATATAAGAACTCCATATAAAAACATGTTAACTAAAATTAAAATTGTTTCAAACTAAAATTGTGTTCATAGGATATTGATGCACCCACATTCCACTGAATTGTCACAAAAAACTGTGAATATAAACTGTGTGTAAAAACAAAGCTGTTATTTCTTTTTGCTGTGTGTAAAAACAAAGCTGTTATTTTTTTTGAGTAACATGTCCAAATATGCAAATTTTTGACAAATCAGGGGCTATAACTCTGCAGATCTCCAATTTATTTGAGACAAATTACAAAGATGCTTGAATTAACATTATGAAATACATTTCGAGTTAAATGCCATACAAGACTAAAAATGCTTTTTTTAGAAAGTTTCATGGCTGTATAAGATATACAATAGGAGTTTCATGCAACACAAGTCTGAGACTTCTCACTTCCCCTCGGAGAGTGCACATCGCTGAGAAGGCACAGGGCAGAAGATTTGAAGACTGGGGAACGGCAAAAAAAGAAAAAAGGAACTTGTGCTGCGGACCAGCTGCCGGTGTCTTGACTAATGCCGAGGGGAGTGGCCCTACAAAGTAGGCTGAGATGACGAGTATTGGTGTGCTAGGGTGCGTGAGCACCTAGTACAGATAGACAGCTTGTAAGACAGGGATTTTGCTGGCACCAACAGCCCTTTTCAGGGCTACCCTTTCATATTGTCACAGGCTACTGTACATTTAGGTTCTCATTGGCCGCCGTACAGTGACCAACTGTTGGCTAAAAAATCATATGTTTGGCTTATACTCCGTGGAAATTACATGGAGGTAAATTGTCACCAGTTTGTGCTTCAAAATTAAATCTTTAAGGGCATGACTGGTGACATGTCCGGGATCTGTAGTCAACAGCGAAAGCTGCATTTTATGCCCTTACGGGCGGATGGACCCTCATTAAGCATTAACTACAACAACAAGTCTGAGAATGCAATTGGGGCCATAACTTTTGAAATTTACCGCCGACACAAAATATTCTACTTACAGACAGCATTACAGACAAGACCAAATAAATGCTTAGAATAGTAAACAAGCAACAAAATGCGTGTTAATGACTTCTTTCCTATACAAAGTAACATTCAGCATTAAAGAAATGTAATACGACTAGACAGTCTTAAGTCTGTTTTAAGTCAGCATAATGGTGTCATGGAATAGGACGGGTTTTAAGTCGGTATTACTACAATGTGATTTTTCTATTTGGCCTTCTGCTCAATGCTTCATGTACATATCATTGCTTATATAAGTGTAGAATAAAGTATATAAAGATTTAATGACAGGTCATTTTTTTGTCTCAAGAATGAAAAAGTATCAAAACTTACCATCCTGTTATAGTGGGCATATATTGTGACAGATAAACAACAGTCAGGATTGGTTGCAATGCTATCCAGACCTCGTCCAACCTGTTAGCTATAGCAACGGCTGACAACCGTGCACAACGCTGTGTGCTCATTCTCTTTTCACCCTCCATCATTTCCACACCTAGTAACTGTAATTTTTAAAACATAAACAAATATAAGGTATCATTCAAAACCAATTACAACAAGAATTTGTAACAGAGTTACCAACGTCCCCCGCCCCGGGAGTTTTATATGAAGCATAAAATTTTGCTATTTCAAAAGATTGAGGTATGGATCTCAGGACATTCAGTCCAAAATTATGATCAATGCTAGATCTGCAAATGTAACAATAAATTTGTTAAAAAAATAAAATGAAACACGGAATTTAAAAATCTATCATGTTAAGCTTTGACCTCTAAGTGTGAACTTGACCTTGGAGGTAGGGGAGCAGGTGTTGTGCATGACATAACGTCTTATTATTGTGACTATTTGTGCCAAGTTATTTCAAAATCCCTTGAACTATGAAGAAGTTCTAGATTCAACACAAAATATACCCTATAACAGACTATGTTAATTTTTGACCTCTAAGTGTGACCTTGACCTTGGAGGTAGGGATGCAGGTGTTGCGCATGACACATCCTCTTATTATAGTGACTATTTGTGCGAAGTATTTTCACAATCCTTTGATCTATGAAAAAATTATAGACCTGACACAAAATATACCCTGTAACAGACTATGTAAGTATTTGACCTCCAAGTGTGACCTTGACCTTGGAGGTAGGTGACCGGTTTTTGCGCATGACACATCATCTGATTATTGTTAACAATTATGGCAAGTATTTACAAAAGTCCTTCATAGATAAGAAAGTTATGGACTAGACACGACATATACCCTCAAATAGACAATGTTGACCTTGAATGAACAAGTACGACCTTGACCCTGAAGGTACGGGTCTGGTTGTTGCGCATGACACATCGTCTTATTATAACAAACATTTGTGCCAAGTTATCTCAGATTCCTTTGATAAATGACAAAGTTATGGACCGGACACGATATATACCCTGTAACAGACTATGTTAATATTTGACCTACAAGTGTGACCTTGACATTGAAGGTAGGCAACTGGTTTTTGCGCATGACACATCGTCTGATTATTATGAACAATTATGGCAAGTATTTACAAAAACCCTTCATAGATAAGAAAGTTATGGACCGGACACGAAATATACCCTGTAACAGACTATGTTAATATTTGACCTCCAAGTGTGACCTTGACCTTGAAGGTAGGTGACTGCTTTTTCCGCATGACACATCGTCTGATAATTGTGAACAATTATGGCAAGTATTTACAAAATCCCTTCATAGATAAGAAAGTTATGGACCGGACACGAAATATACCCTGTAACAGACTATGTTAATATTTGACCTCCAAGTGTGACCTTGACCTTGAAGGTAGGTGACTGGTTTTTGCGCATGACACATTGTCTGATTATTGTGAACAATTATGGCAAGTATTTACAAAATCCCTTCATAGATAAGAAAGTTATGGACCGGACACGACATATACCCTCAAATAGGCAATTTTGACCTTGAATGAGCAAGTGTGACCTTGACCCTGGAGGTAGGGGTCTGGTTGTTGCGCATGACACATCGTCTTATTATAATAAACATTTGTGCCAAGTTATTTCAAATTCCTTTCATAAATGACAAAGTTATGGACCGGACACGAAAGTGTGACAGACGGACAGACGGACGGACGTACCAAAATTTGATGTTTATGAGGCAAATGAGCTCATAAACACCACCTGGACCAACGTCCATAAGCAAAATAAGCTCATAAAAACAAAAAAAAACTCTTAATTTTAAATTTTATGAGTTTATGTTCTTTATTTAACTACGGAATGAAGCTCATAATAATCAAATGTTGGCTCGGACGGACGGACAGACGGACAGACGGACGGAGCCTATTTCTATATCCCCCTTTTTTCTTCGAAAAGGCGGGGGACAATAAGGTGTGAACAGAATTTTATTAATCTCTAACCACCAACAAATCTGTAGTCCCATAGCTATAAATATGGGTATAGAATGCAATATGTTGACTTATACAATGCAATGGATTGAATGCAACAAAATTAACTGTTATTAACAGCATCTGTTCATAGCCATCTTTAATAACATTATCTATATCTATTTTTCATATAAATAATTGAGCCACGTCACGACAAAACCAACATAATGGGTTTGCGACCAGCATTGATCCAGACCAGCTTGCGCATCCGCGAAGTCTGATCAGGATCCATGCTGTTCGCTTACCAACCCTATTACAAGTAGAGAAACTGATAGTGAACAGCATGGATCCTGATCAGACTGTGCAGATGCGCAGGCTGGTCTGGATCCATACCGGTCGCAAACGCACTATGTTGGTTTTGTTGTGACGTGGCTCAATTCTTGTACACACATCTGATTATCTCATTTTTACTTGGATTTTGACAACTTTTGGCCATATCTCATTGTTTAGTTGAGCAAAGTGGCTTTCCTGGATGACTTACCAGTAATTACTGATATTTCTGCAAGTAAATGACTACTATATGTACCAGTAATACCACATGATTTCTGAATCAGACGTGAGAGACAAATGACCATTAGACTTGATGTTCGAGAACATTTGTCATAGAGAAATTTCACCTTGAACTACAAATACAATGCTCTCCATTATGGGCTAGTGCTATCAAATATAGAAATAAAGTTTCTTTCAAACAAGAATTAATTGTAAAAATTATTTCCAATTCAAATATCCAATAGTAATGTAAAGAGGCCTAATATACAACATCGCCACTTCGCATAGACGGTTCAGAGAGATGTAAAATCTTTATGTCAATTTAAGGCCCTACCTCACCAGATTTTTCAGTGAAGCTTGTCTTGAGAAGGTTAGAGAACACAGGTCCAGGACAGATATTAGTGACAGCAATATTTCTCGGAAACATCTCCACTCTTAAACAGCTAAACCAGCCCTAAAGAAAAACAGTTCAAGCTTTCATATATTGAAGAGTAAATAATGTAAGGTAAATATAGAATTAAACCTAAAAATATGTAATCCAATGAAACTCAAGATGCAAATTTTTGCTAAACTAATATTGGATATTCAGAAAATAAAATTCAATTTTAAAAACTAATACAAATACATTGTCGGTCATCATTAAATAGAGGATTTTTTCTTATAGTAAGCAAGTACCGGTAGATATTTTTCTTGAAAAAAAATAATTTATCGTTTCACTGCATAATAGTCAATAGCATCTTGTAGTATCATACAGCAGTAACTTGATTCATAATATTAATTATTATATATACCATACATGTACAATACCTGTAAAGCATGTTTGGCACCTGTGTAGGATCCAGACATGGGTGCACCTGAAATACATGAAGTTTTATGTTATGCTTCTCAAGAAGTTTAACATTATTTCTTAATATACCTCTCAGGCAAATTGTCATGTAAGAGTCTTTAACTTGTATCCAACCCCTGTCAAACAAAATACAGCCTATCTGTCCATAAAGAACTGCTTTAAGAAATGGAAGTAATGGGCATAATAATTGATCTGTCAATGATATGACTTAAGATACACAGATGGTCTTTACTGTTATTTTATCTTACTACCTGGTTTGACTGTAATAACTTACCTAATTTTCCAGCAATACTACTCATGTTAACAATATGTCCCTGTTTTCTCTCTATCATATGTGGTAGGACTTGTTTTGTCAGAGAAAGTACAGAAAGAACATTTATTTCCAGCATATCCCTGTCTACCTGTATATCAGTTTTCTCCCATAATGCCCTCTGTGCCCTCCCTGCATTATTCACAAGGACATCTATCTGAAATTTGTTAAATCTAGACTAATGTCCATGTAAGAATGGAAATGTTACAGCAAAGTTCATACAGAAATTTATTAAGAAATCATAGCATTACAATATTATCACAATAAGAGGCCAGCAGCCATATAGATGATAACCAAACAAATTAATGTAAAATATAAACTTGTACAAAATTTCTGTTTTTTAATTACTGAATTTTTAAATAAACTATTTAACAGTTCCTGGAAGAATATGTCATATTAGAAAATGGATCAAGTTTTCTTTATTAGTTAACTTCAAATGTAAACAGTTCAACAGCTGAAACTGAAAATGACTAGCCTTGTCACAAGTGTACATCTGTGCATTTGACAAGTTTCTAAATTGTTTGCTGACTAATGTAAAGATTCCGTCTTGATATCCCCAAAACAGATACAGGACAGTTTTAAAATGGAAGCTGGACAAGAAATTCAGCAGGTTAAGGTAAATGTATGGGGACTTTAAATACTACATGTACTTAGGGGTTTCCATGTCCAAGTGGTTACAGTTGCTGACTTGTATTAATGGTTCCTAACTGCTTGGGGTTCAAATCCTGCCAAAGAATTTGAATGTATTCTTTCATGTAAGGAACCTATCCAGCTGCTTGTTTTCCGATGGTCAAGGGTACTTCACAGGTCTCTGCTTGAGCCTGAAACAATGCAGACAGGGCTTAAGGTCTACCTCCTCCAGAAAATATGGAAATTTACCACAAAATCTTTTCACTGTCAGTGTGACTTATAAATGAACTAAAGATAAATACCACTGTTATACCTGTTTAAACCTGGATAACACCTCTTCTACAGCTGGTTTATGGAGGTCAAATTTTAACATATCTAAAGGTAACACAAGTACATCATCATCCATTAGGTTACCATAACCTGTAATACAACATTAGGCTAAAATATAAAAGAACAAAATATCATGTAAAATATGGAACAAGAGCCACTGCAGGGAAGGGGCAATGCTGTACTTTTTTTGTACTTTTTCAACAAAATTACTTAACTTTTGGCCCAATTCCTTTGTATACATCAGGTCTTATGAAATAGTTCTATAAAATTTATCAACAGTAAAATTATATTGGTTCCATTATTATATGGTTGATTCCTAAAAAATTTGTTACACACATGAATAATGTTCGTAAACAGAATAAAATGTTCCGGAACAAAATAATATTTGGCTATTTTAAGTAGGGATTTATCCGTTTAGCAATAATTTTGTGCATGCACCACTCGCTTTAAGGCAATTTATTGCTATTTTTATTTCATACAAGCACTTTGGAAATATTCTCTTTTAATTCCAAACCAGATATATAGCTGTATACACTTTAATATATAAATGATGTATGTTTATATATGTAATAAAATGTTTATAAAACTTAAAACTAAATAAAATACAACAACTTTTCATACACATCAGATCTGTTTCATTATGAACAACAATTGTGACGAAAGATTCCATTATTCATTGAGAATATTATCAAGTATTGACTATAAAATGGAGTTAATGAACCATAAAAAAACTTAAAAGTCAAATCAGATATCAGTGGCATTTGAATTTATACAAAACTTGTAATTCAATTTTTTTCAAGTATTAGTTATCAACATTTTCCCATATTCATAAATTTGGGTTAAGGGTAAACACAGCTAAGGATAGAGTCATTAGAGTGTATAATCTTATGATATCTATGAGTGAATACACTAATTACTATAGTACTCAAATAAACAAAAACAACTCACTAAGACATTGTTTCTTCACCCTTTGAAGTTCTTCTTCTCTTCTAGCTGACAAAACTAGTCTACAACCAGCTTGTGCCAACTCGTAACTGAGGTACTCTCCTATACCACTGGATGCTCCAGTAATCCATACCACCTTACGTGCCAGTGACCCTTAAACAACATACCAAAAAAATGGGAAATTTCAATTGTGAAAGTTTGGGGATGTATTTATACACAATCATAATGAAAACCTATTCAACATTAATTATAAAAAGAATAAAATCCTCCAAATAAAATAGATGGGCTATAATTATATAAAAGATAAAATGATTTACTGCGAGTGTGAATTATAATTTGAACAAAATCCATCATTAACCCTCTGATATAACTCATCAGAGGAGTAAAAGTCCTTCACAAAATAACAAAATCAATACTTCACAACCATTTACTCCCTTCATTGTTCTTCAACCCACAAGAGAATAATTTTATCCATAGTACAATGTATTATAATTACCTAAAGAGTAACTGAACTGATATATAAATTTACAGTAATCAAAAGTGGAAGGATGGATAAAGGTGGCATTTTATCAGAGAGGTTGGGATGTACCATGCATCATTTCTCACCTGTAGATCGTCCAAATTTTTCAGCCCATTGTAGCTGTAGATCACAATCTGCAAAGATCAATCTTAGTATCTGTATAGCTATATATGCTACCACTACAATCTCTATAACTGTGCACCAATCCATCACAAATGTATATCTGCAAAGAACAATTTCATGACTCTTAACTAATAATCAGTATCGATTTTGACATAGTTAAAAAAATAAGTATAACATATAATTTATTATAATGTTTTTTTTTTTAACCCTAGCTTCATTTAAACAGCTGTTTGAAAGGCAAACATGCAATTAAAGTAAAATTGTACAAATATTTATTCCTTTAAAATCCATAGCATTAGCGAAAACAAGGTGGTTCATGTATATTATACTCCTGGAACAGGCTCCGGGGTATTATTCATTCAAAAGCACATTTAATGGGTCATACATAGACAATGTGTCAACCATTCATTGTTAAAACATTACATCATCAGTTAAGTTGCAGTAAATTGTGTTTTGTTGTGTTTCTTAATGATATACTGCTGTATTTTTTAATATTCCAACACACTTAACCTTTCTTAAACGATATTATTTTTACACAAACAAAACCATTTACAAATTGATGACTGTTTCAGACTTACACACAAACTATCGCAACTTAATATATTGCAGAAAGGAAGTGGCTAGCTGTACGGGCTCGTACGGCTAGCCAAAATTTCTAGCCGTATGTGAGTCGCGTACGACTAGCAAGGACACACTGTACTGGCTAACCGTACGGCATTTTCAAAATTAGATAGAAGTCGAAAATGCATATGTTATTTTATGACTAAAAGCGAGGATTTTAACCAAGAAACAGCAATTGTCTTTGTATGTTTACTTTTTAGAGATTAATCGCCTTGTTGGCTACAGTAAAACAAGAGGGCCATGATGGCCCTAGATCGCTCACCTGACTTATCAAACTCATCCAAACATTACCTAGACAAGCATTTTGACCAAGTCTCATGACAGGTGAGTCCAAAAAATGTGACCACTACAGTGTTAAGAAGGATTATCCATATTTTGAGCAGTGCGACCTAGTTTTTTTACCCAGTGACACATATTCAAACTTGACCTAGAAATCATCAAAACAAAACTTTCAAACCAATTTCCAGGATACTTGGATCAAAAACAGTAGCAACTAGAGTGTTAACAAGATTTTTCTATTGTCTAGCTCTGGTGACCTAGTTTCACATGCGATTTCGAACTCATCCAAGCAATTACCTAGAACAAGCATCCTGACCAAGTTTGATGAAAATTGAGTCGAAAATGTGACCACTAGAATGTTAACAAGGTTTTTTCCATATTTGGGCGTTGTGACCTAGTTTTTCATCCAAGATGACCCATGTTCAATCTTGACTTAGAAATCATCAAAACAAACTTTCAGACCAATTAACCACAACAGTAGCCACTAGAGTGTTAACAAGATTTTTCTATTTTTAGCTCCTGTGACCTAGTTTTTCATCCGAGATGTCCCATGTTCGATTTATTCCGCAGCAATGACCTAGACAAGTTTCCTGACCAAGTTTGATGACAATTGAGTCAAAATTGTGACCACTAGAGTGTTAACAAGGTTTTTCTATTTTTAGCTCCTGTGACCTAGTTTTTCATCCGAGATGACCCATGTTCGAACTCATCCGAGCTATCACCTAGACAAGCATCTTGATCAAGTTTGATGATGATTGATGCAAAAATGTGACCGCTAGAGTGTTAACAAGGTTTTTTCTTATTTTTAGCTCCGGTGACCTACTTTTTCATCCGAGATGACCCATGTTCGAAATTCATCCGAGCTATCACCTAGACAAACATCTTGACCAAGTTTGATGATGACTGATGCAAAAATTAGACCGCTAGAGTGTTAACAAGGTTTTTCTATTTTTAGCTCCGGTGACCTACTTTTTCATCCGAGATGACCCATGTTCGAACTCACCTGAGCTATCAATTAGGTAAGCATCCTGACCAAGTTTGATGATGATTGATGCAAAAATGTGACCGCTAGAGTGTTAAAAAGGTTTTTCTAATTTTATAGCTCCGGTGACCTAGTTTTTCATCCGAGATGACCCATATTCGAACTCATCCCAGCTATTATCTAAATAAGCATCCTGACAAAGTTTGATGATGATTGGGTCAAAAATGTGACCACTAGAGTGTTCACAAGGTTTTTCTATTTTTAGCTCAGGTGAGCTAAAAAGTATGAATATCGATCTTAATCATCTCAAGACATTGAGAAAAAATACTTTTGGTCGCAGTTAAATAACATCAATTAAAATAGTTTTCAAAATTTTGATGATATCAAATCCGTTTTTGTTTCATCAAATTTTTGACACCTTTAAAATGAAAAATTATTGTTGTTGGGGTCTGATATGACGCAATTACCGATGGTAAAGAAGTTTGTCCATCATTAAGGAAAGTTTGCATGTTCCGTGAAACACATTTTAAAATTCTATTGCCAGTCCCTGGGTAGGCTTTACTTAAGGCTTATTTATTGATTGTGCTTTTATGTTCGATATTTATCTACTGTATTTGAAAATAATACAATTATTTTTGCTTTTCACCATTTTTTTTTTCAATGTTCTTTTTATTTATTCCACTCCTAATCCATGTGCTTAATTAACAAAAAATTCACCTTTCATACAAATAAAACAACAAATCATAATCAGAGGCACAAAAAAAAGATGATGGCGACTTCCAATAAATTTTAAAAAGTCGTACGGCTAGACCCTAAAGTTTTTTGTCCTGGGTAAAATCTACCGGGTGACTTTTACTACGGCTAAAACTTTGGGTACCCCTATGGGCCCCGTACGGCTGCCACTTTTTTTCCCTTGCGAAATGGTAAAATGTATCTCCAGAAACCCACGATTAAAAATATTTGCATGAAAAATTTGGGCTAAAGCTTATGCGTTTTTTTAAAATTAATTTCTTTACCGGAAAACCCAAAAAACCACAAAATTTTTAACAAGGTTATTCTGGGTTCCTAACTTTATATGTGTTTTTTTTTTGACGTCACAGGTCTAGCAGTACTATAAAACCTGTTCGCTGAAGTCTCTTTAGCTAAACATGAGTAAATTCTCAGGGCTCAGATATTGTTTTCTTTGTTCATTATGTCTTAAAGGGATATTTTATGTATTGATGGCAAAATAATAACTATCTAGAAATGTTATGAACAGTTCATCTATGCCAGGTTAGGCCTTAGTCCCAAGGTATTACGGGAAACCATGCAGGATACATGCACCGGAATCCGAATATATGTGTTGTCCGAAATAGATGCATGTTGATAAGTGTCGCAAGATTTCGCGGATGAAAAATCACAATGTCACTACTAAATTTGTTGATTATGCTGATGTTTACGTAAAAATATATATGAACAAACTCGTTAAAAAGTGCAAATATATTGTATAAGCGTGTATTTTGTACCTACAGATTTGTTTTTCAGTTTACGGTTGATTGATTACAAGGGAGGTCACTCTAACACAGCGTGGGATTGAGGCCCTGGCTCTGTGTTAGTAGAATTTATAATTTCAAAAGAATATACAGTAAAAAGCCTTAATTAAGACCACCATCGGGACTGAACCAAAGTGGTCTTAATTGTGGGGTGGTCTTAATTGTGGATATTCTTATCATTGCTTTCACACGTTATGACAATGGTCTATTTTAGTCATTTTGTATGAACAAACAATAGATCTATACATGTATATGGTCATAACCTGCAAATACAATATAAAGTATGTTATAATATCAAATCAGATGGGAAGAAACATGTTTCTGGAGAAATTTAATACCAAATTCTCTTTGTTCTGATTTCAATATTAATTATTGTATGATGTACATTTTTCAAATATTATATAAGACATTATTTCTTCACAAAAAAAATGTGCGTATATATAGTTTGACGAACGAAGAAAATGTTTAAAAAGCGGCTTACATGGGCTTGCCAGAACTGGCTGAAATAATTTAATTTGCAAATTCAACCTATTTCGGGACATACAGTGTATATAGTAATATGTTTTGTCCCAAACCAACATAATTATAACTCTTCTAAAGATGTGCAAATTCTGATCTATAATTCTATACCATTCTTCAAGTTATCTGAAAGACCCTAAGAATGCATAACCATTCGTAAACCAAAAAAAATCAACAGACAACAGTTCAATGCGTTGACAACAGTAACACTATGTACACTTCATAAACGTAATCATTAAGTCTATTCAGTTCAATGTATACGTACCGTCCGACATCTCTTGAGAGCCTATGTCTATGATTTTAACTTAAAATAGATAAATTGTTGCAGGCTCGGTTTGATTGAGCCTGTTCATGGACGGTACTGGAAAGTGCAAGTTACCGTCCACGCCCCCTAGCACCGGCTTAAGCAGAATTCAACATTTAAACATGAAATAGTAAAATACATCCGCAGATGTGTTCATACGGCTTACTTCCGAAAATAGGAGCTTCACTCGTTTATCGACTGTGAATACGAGAGTCAATGGAAATGGTATGTCATAATCCAGTCATTTTTTACCTATTCCAATATTTTTTTCTTTTTGTAAAATCAAGTTAATCCCGTTAAAGATCTTGCTAACGAACTGCTAGCCCGAGACAGTGTCTTTCAAATTTGTATTTAACTTAATGTTTTATTTTCACTTTAGTTTTTGAAATGTCTTTCGCACGTTTATCATGTTTATTCACATATTTCAATAATTATTTGCACGAAAATAATTAGATCTTTCTAATTCAAAACTCAAAAGTTTACCAGTTCATGTTAAATGTTGAATACTGCTGAAGCCGGTGCTAGCGGGCGTGGACGGTAGTTTTCACTTACAAGTACCGTCCATGAATAGGCTCAATCAAACCGAGTCTGCAACATTTTCAGTTTTGCCGTGTTGGGCTTTCGTTAGGGATTCTTATTTCTCTCTATTTTTTCTACCATTCACCATGGACACACAGTTAGTTTAACGACGTTAACCATACCATAACATGGGTTAGACTATTATATCAAAATAATTAGCTCTATTATGATTAAATTTGTGGAATTAAGTAAGGTAGACTACATTGATCGGAAACCACTTTTACCTACAAGATCAACATGGTCTTGACCATTGACACCAAAATCAATAGGGGGCATCTACTTGCCAAGACCAATGCACCTGTGAAGTCTGAATGTCAAAATATGAAAAACAAGATCAACAAGGAAAGGCGGCGTTCAATGAACGCAACAGTCTCATGAGTTGTTGAGTTATTTATTGAAAACCATTTTGATTTTGACCTGAAGACTCCAAAACTAAAGGGGTCATCTTCTGGTCATGAACAATCTTCATAACAAGTTTGAAGTTCCTATGTTCTTTAGTTATTGATCGGAAACCATTTGGTCTACGGATTGACAGACAAATGCAAATTTAAGCAATATATCCCACTTCTTTGAAGGGGGCATACTTACTATTGGAGGTTTAAGTATTATATATATTTATCTCTAGATCTACATCTACATCATACTGCTTCAAAATCGTTAACGATAACACTAAACAGGCGCGTTGTCTGGGAATGGCTTTTTATGCCCCCGCCATGTAATGGCCGGGGCATATAGTGTTACCCTGTTCCGTCCTTCCGTCATTCTGTCATTCCGTCACCATCAGTTTCCGTTCATTATCTTAGTAACGGTTGCACACATTCAACTCAAACTTGACATATGGATATGTCATGAGAAAATACAGGTCAAGTTCGAATTTGGTCATGGTTCGATGATTTTTGGCAGAGTTATGCCCCTTTTACTTTAAAATAATATGAAATTTTCAGTTTCCGTTCATTATCTCCCCAACGGTAAAACACATTCAACTCAACTTTGGCATATGGATACGTCAAAGGAATGCGCAGGTCAAGTTCAAATTTGGTCATGGTTCGATGATTTTTAGCTCGACTTTTTTTTTGAAAAAAAAAGTAGAGGTATTGTTATATATAGTCAGGTCGGCGTTGCCGTTGCCGTCCGAAAACTTGTACCTGGATCATACTTTTTTATTTCTTGGTGCTATTGTTCTTCATTACTTGGGCCACAAACAAACTTGGACAAGACTTTCAGTAGAACCACCAATAACCTTGAGCCTTTCATCCATAATGCCTTGTGACCTTCAAGGTTAAAAGTCCAATTATCTCCCCAACGGTACAACACATTCAACTCAAACTTGAGAAAATACAGGCAAGTTCGAATTTGGTCATGGTTCAATGATTTTTGGCAGAGTTATGCCCCTTTCACATTGAAAATAATATGAAATTTACAGTTTCTGTTCAACAGTGTTACATATTCAACTCAAATCTGACATATGGATATGTCAAAGGAATGGGCAGGTCAAGTTGGAATTTGGTCATGGTTCGATGATTTTTTGGCAGAGTTATGTCCCTTTCACTTTGAAAATAATCTAGATACATCTTAGGAATAAGCAGTTTAAGTTTGAATTTGGTCGTGGTTCAATGATTTTGGACAAACTTATTTTTCCTGAATGTTGGAAAAGTTTTGAACTTTCAGTTTCAGCACTCATACTTTTGTGCAAATGTACATTGTATGTAGCCATTATTTTGGCTACAAATATGCAATATGCTATTTTCAAAAGGTTAAGACTGAATAATTTCAGGGCCTTGAACATTGTATGAAAATGGTTTGTGTTAACATTGAAAAGTTTTAAGGGCTTTGAACTTAAAATGAAAAAAATAATTTGTGTAAACAAATTTGGAACTAAATATTATAACATCTGAAATTTTGGCTGCATGCGGGGGGCATCCGTGGCATGATGACACATTTCTAGTAAAAACAAATGTGTTAAGCAAAGCTGAATTAGAACTGGCAAAAAGGATGCAGCTGCCCAGTAAAGAGGTCTAAACTGGGACTATATAGCTTGTAAGGACACGGGTATGCCATTCTACAGACGAATACTTCTGGGAAAAAATGAATAGGAGTGGTATTTTGTCCTTGAATATATGGTACGTATTAGGTAGTTCAGGTTTCTAGATAGTGGGTGTAAGATGGTGATCCGTGGTCGACCCTCACAAGATTGTGTTGGTTTTTGTACGGTAACAGAGCTGATGTTGCGCCTCTGCTTTAGAGTTTGCCAATTAAGTTCATTTAACATTTTAGATACACTACTGGTGTAATTGTAGACGCTGTATTTATAAGTCTCTGGCAGCTGACCTTTGAACTTGTTCTATTTTGTAAACCAGTTATTTTTGCCAAGGATGCCAAACCGTGGAACAGCTAGTATTCTAACTGGGGCCTTTCATACATGTAGGTTTTGTATAAATGTAACTTATATATATATAATAGTTCATTAGTGGCGGCGTGGCCGAGTGGTTAACGCGTCGGACTAGTAATCTAAGGATTGCTGACCGCGTGGGTTCAAACCCTGTCAGGGGCAAGCCGTTGTTTCCTTGAGCAAGAAACTTTACATTCATTGCTTAGTACTGGTTGGTTCCAGGAACGGATTCGAGAGTGTTTCAATAAGCTTTTAGCTTCCAACACAATCGAACTAAAATAAATTTGTATAAACTAATAGTTCATTAATTGGTTTAAATAAGAGAATTTCAAAATCTTTGAGAGGTGAACAATATGTTTGAACTCAGTCGCAACTGTAATGAGCGCAAGTTAGTAACTTGCACTTTCCATTACCGTCCATGAACAGGCTCAATCAAACCGAGCCTGCAACATTTTCAATTTTGTTGTGTTGGGCTTTCTTTAGGGCTTCTGTATTTCTCTATTTCACAGACCACTTCCATAACCACATAGTTACATTAAATCGAGGCTGAGCGTTATCACGTGACCAATATACCATTTCCGCTTTCGTGATGACCCATATAAGTAAACCCACGTTGTTGACAAAAAAAGGTTCGTATTTGTTTTCTTTACCTCATTGTCTTTCATTTTTGCATTATTTTAAATTCTTTAAACTATTTACATTGAAATAAATAAGTTCCATGTATATTCTGACTTGTAAAGTGACAACATCCGCAATATTCGCAGATGAGAATGTAAAACAGATTGTGAAAAAGGTAAATAATCCCATTTCCCGCGAAAAAAACTGCGCAGAATTCTTCTATGCGACGTGGTTTTATTCATCTTATAAGTGGCGTGGTTTTATTTATCTTATATTCTCCTAAGTAATCCCGGGACGAATGTAAATTATCATTATCACCTTTGTACAGGTCTGCTTGTTTGCTGAAAAATAGAACCCAAATTTGGATACCTATCTATAGGATATATCCTGGAATAGACCACGGTTAAGCAGGAGTATTTCTATAGTTTATTCTGTTTTCTTTAGTTGACCAT